GGGAATAGAGACCTACCCAGCTTTACAGGAACAGTGGTGATCCTTTAATATTGTCCTTTGTCTCAGTCGTCAGTGGTTCCCTTTTACTCTGATTTTAACGTCAGTTTGACAGCCTGAATACAACCTTCAAATGCACACTGCAACTGCAGAACTTCTTTCTGAGAACTTTTTCCCCAAAATTTGGCAACATTTCTCCAGGTAGTGCAGTAATGGACAGTGGCAGCGCCGTGATAAGTCGGACAGCATTAGCATCAGTAACTAAGGGGGGCGTGGCTTAGCAAAGAGTCAGTTGCTGGTATGTTTTTTTTGGGGGGGGGCAGTCTGTTAAGTGTCTTGAGTAATTTATCATCATTCAGTAACGGTCGATGTCTTTTGGTCCTTCCTAAATAAAATAAACACCACCGGAATAAGTCATTTAATCAACTTTTCTCTGGTCTCCAGTACTCTTTTGGCATTTGAATTCAAGATAGCTGAGACGTTTTTGCACTTAAAGCAGTTAGTGAGTAATGAGCAGCAAAAACACAACAGATTAAGAAGCCTAAAATAATCCACTGCATTTTCTATAAATTGTACTCCTATAGCTGAAACTACAGTAGTGATGGGCTAATTATGCAGACCTACACTGTAGGCTGTACCTCTGTCGCAGTAGACTATGCTAATGCTAACAATGAGGCTGCTACAGATTAATGCACTGCACACGCTGGTGCCTCATATGCTTGTGTAGGCTGCACACCATCTTCTAATAGACTGCATATTCTTAAATCATCTAATTGATTCACTTGAGATATTGGTACCGTACACCAGTTTTGTAAACAGGTGTAGCCATCTGCCTTGGTTGGGCCCAGCTGGATCGAGCATTGCTGATGCTGGTTATTGGAATGACGATGTAGATTTGATTTGTTGCTCTCTCTCTAGGAAGCTGAGGAAGGAGTGATTGCATATGAAGACTGTGGAGTGAAACTCACTGTGCCATACCATGCAAAAGACCTGGAGGGAGGAAGTTACCCACAGGTCGGAGACAAGGTATCTACTGAGTGACACTGCACTCAGTACTTTTGCTTGAGACTTAAATAAAGATGGTTCAAAGACAAATGAAAGTGAGTCATTTTAGTGGAGCGTTTAGTCAGGCTCCCGCCATATGTGAGACATATTAAAATTGTGTCCTTTTTTTAAGGTGGAGTTCTCAATCAACGAAGTGAAGCGAACCGGCCAGCAGAGTGCAGTCTCCATCAGGGTCCTCAACCGTAATGCCTCTAATGCCAAGAGATTGCATGGATTTGTTGCCACTCTGAAGGACAACTTTGGTTTCATTGAGACTGCTAATCATGACCAGGAGATTTTCTTTCACTACAGGTAGAGGTTTAAGTTCTAAGAGGCCTTTTGAATGAGTTAGTTGCTGCTTTATTTGTCAAATCATATCCAGGTCTCAGTAGGTCTCTGTTTTCTCCTCAGTGAAATGTGTGGTGACTTAGAGAACTTAGAGCTGGGAGACACAGTCGAGTACACTCTCTCTAAGGGAAAAGGAAACAAAGTCAGCGCTGAAAAGGTTACCAAAGTGGCTGCAGGTATGAGGGGTTGAATTCCAGCCATTTAATTTACCTTCATATTTGTGATGTTTGTAGACATGACAGTGTGGAAGTGTCAACAGATAAAAGGTGTGTGAAATACACTGTTTTGCTTCTAGTGAATGGAATTGGTGATGACATTGTTGCAACAGTGTTGATGGGGAAAGTCATTCGTCCCTTGCGCAGTGTGGACCCCTCCCAGACAGAATATCAAGGGCTTATTGAAGTCACAGAAGAAGGTTGGTGTCAAGTTATGAGACTTGTAGACCCGACATTTAAAGCGCACTGTTTTTCTTTTTGGCAAAATTAAGACAATATTACAACTCCTCTTCTTGGTGGTTTCAGGTGGAACTAAAGGTCAGAATTATCCTTTTGGAATCATGGGTATGGCAAACAAGGCAGATTGTTTGCAGAAAGGAGAACTTGTGAAGTTTCAGGTTTGCACAGTTGCCCAAACTGGACAGAAGATGGCCTGTAATGTGGTCCCTCAGCGTAGAGCCATGGTGGAGTGTGTCAAAGACCAGGTAGTTATCAGTTATGTATTGCTAAACTCAGTGTTGAAGTTTCTGTTGCTACTGCACAGGTAACACTGAAGTGAATAACAATTGAAGTTGTGTCGCTTTGTTGCCCCAGTTTGGCTTCATCACATATGAAGTTGGTGAGAGCAAGAAGCTGTTCTTCCATGTAAAAGAAGTGCAAGATGGCCTGGAGCTCCAGACTGGGGATGAGGTGGAGTTCTCAGTTGTACTCAATCAACGCACAGGAAAATGTAGTGCTTGCAACGTACGCAGAGTCAGGTGGGTACTCCAGAGGGCAATGAGGTGTAGAACCTGGTTTACATTTGGGCTCACTTTGAATTTTGGCTAAACTTGTTGGTGATATACGCTAACATTTTCAAGTGACACAAGTTGAAAACGCACCTATATGCACCTAACGTTACAGTGAGGGGCCTAAACCGGTGGCGACTCCACGTCCTGATCGTCTGGTGAACAGATTAAAGAGCATCACACTTGATGACGCCAGTGCTCCTCGCCTGGTCATTGTAAGACAGCCCCGTGGTCCTGATAATTCAAAGGTACAATCAAGCATGCTCGTTGCCACATTTTGTCTACTGTACTATGAAAGTGACTTCTGAACTGATGTGATTCTAATGAAATCATAGCTTCAAGTCTCTTGATGTTAAATATTGTAATTACAAAGTTGGTAATGAGCAGTGTTGGGCAAGTTACTCAGACACTGTAATATATTACTAGTTATTACTCCTTTAAAAAGTAATTTTATTACTAAACTAGTTACTTTTATCACCCAGTAATAAGTAATGTTACTATATTACTTTTCATTACGTTTCCCACAGAGGTGTTAAGGAGAGAAAGAGGGAGTGAGGAGGTGCTGCACGAATAGGCTCCTCAATCCAGCTCCACAATCAAATGATTTTAAATACGCCTAATAAAAAAATAAATAAATAAAAAAAAACCCCAGAAGAATCAATATGTGGCGTCAGCGTTAATTATCCAAATTATAGGCTAATTATCCAAATTATAGGCTAATTATGGGAAACACTGCTTTCACTACCACCCCCTTCACCCCCAAACAAGTTTAACTAATATATATTCATAACAGGCCTGGGCTATTTGGTTTGTAAAAACCATACTCTTTACTACTAACGTTTCCTAACACCACCGGCTGATAGAAATAAATAAATAAAGCAAGTAAATCCTGACTTTTGAACGTTTTCTGCACATGTAGCCTGTTTATAAGAGCAGTATTCAGTAGTTACAAAACGTTACATTAACGCCACTCTCTCCCTACGAGTCCAAGCATCAGTGACAATAGCTGCTGGAGTTTCCTGGTTTCCTGGAGGTACAAAGAATCTTGAATCTTGCTATATGCAGTCTTCCTCATTGATTTTCAGTATTTGCCACAATGGCCTAATACAACCAGAGTTATAAGAAGTTATCCTTTACCTGCACAAGGTTGGCTACGATGACATTAGTATTGGTTAATTAGCAATTTCTTTTACAACTAATGTGCTAAAAAATGCTGAGATACAATAATACTACTAGATATAGGTGGATTTTGAGATTTTCAGACGTTTCTAGATCTTCCTACCTGAAACTTTCAATTACAATTGGCCCTTCACTAAACCATGCCTCAAAGACGCAGCTGGCCAATCACAGCGCAGTATAGGACTCTCTCTAACTGAGGTCTGACATTTTATGGCTGCGTTCCATTGACTCTAATACAAAAGGAGTTGTTTTCTAGCTTTCTTTTTGCTGTATTTTTCCAAGATATGGTCAAACACTGTTCCTGGGGCACTTCTAATAACAGTCACTACCCAGACAGGTTGAAAGTACGATTTATTCCCTTTCCAAAATCTAAAACAAATTCAGAAAAATGTAGGCTGTTTCTAATGTAATGTTAGCTTGGCAACAGTAACTAAGGGGTCCGTGGCATAACGAAGTGTCAATTGGTATTCTTTTGCATTGTATGTCAGCTGCAACATTAATTATGTCCGTCCTCTCCTTTTACAGGGCTTCAATGTGGAGCGCAAGACTCGCCAGCCCGGTGTCATTGACTGAGCAATACAGAGCCCGCACTGTTGGGTGACGGTGGGATGCTATCCCAAAGTGCAACAGCAGGGGATAAGGGAATTTGATTTGACACATGCTTGTACACACAAACTCATACACAAAACATACGCACACATACAGTAATCAGCATGTGCAACTTTTCTCATTCCACGGTTCCCTGCCTCTCATATAGGATGTACTTGATACAGAGTTCCACGCGGCAGTGTACATGGGGTCTCTGAGTGTGTGCGTGTGTGATGTATCCTAGAAGTGGTTATAGTGGGGAAAGGAGCTATTTGTTTCTGGGGGTCTTGTCCCTCTACATCAGAGTGATGACTGTGTGGCTGTCTATGTCCCTATCTTTTTGAATCCGCTTTTGTCTGGAATTCTGCACCTGTAATCTGTCCAGTAGTTTGCCGGGGTGAATGAGTGACTGTTGGCATGTCTTTATCTGCTCCATTTTTGTTCACATATTTTTGCTCCTTTACCCATGGAAACTTAAAATGGTTTCATTGACAGGTTTCCACTACTGTATGCTTTCCTACAAGACGCATAAAGCAAGGTTCCCTCCATACGGAGGATCATATTTCTCATACGTGCAAGCTTAAACTGGGGGTTCTTCTCTGCTCGGTTTTTTTGAGCAGTTTTAAAATGCTTTATTGAAGAGCTGAAGTGAAAGCATGGTGTGTGTGTGTGGGTGGTGTATGTGAATGTCAAATTAGTTAATCTAATGGATTTACTTTTACCAATCTGGAGCCTTTAGATACCTTTTTTTTGGTATTCACATGCTCCACTTTCTCAGGTGCAGAATTCCTTGTGGCATCTTATATCTGCATTTCTTTTATACTTTTTTTTTTTTTTTTTCTCTCTCAAATATTTTTGCTTTTTTCCATTGAAACTCAATCTGCTAATATTGAATTAAGTAAGAATAAGGTGCCTAAAAACTACAAGCAAAATAAAAATAAAAAAAACTAAAGAAAAAATTAGATGTATCCTCTGTTCCCAGCCAACCATCAAAATATTCAGAACAATCTTAGGGTGGCTTTCTTTTCTAGTAGAAATAATACTGATATGCATCCCAAACCTGTGGGTTGAACTATACTGTATGTAATGTGTGCTTTTTTTTATTTTTTTTTCCTTAGTGAAAGTTCAAATTTCAGATAACAAATTTAACTCGAAGAAGGAGAAAGGTAAAGTAATAGAAATTCACTTTAAAGAAGCATTAAGAATCAGGATATCAGTTATTGTGCTCTGGAGACATGGTGGGTGAGCTGTTGTGCCTCTGCACATTAAGTTACAGTCAAAAAAATTTTCTTTGGAGATCACCACGTTTCAGTTGAACCACGTACAGAGGTTCTCATGTACTTTTGTTAATGGTCTTGAATGAAACAATTGAATTAAAATTTTATGAAAATCATGAGCTGTTTTGTGAAATTGTCGTCTTTTTTTATTTGACAAAATGGTGCCTTAAGACTGCATAAAGTATCTGTAAAACCAATTATGTAGACCAATGTTACACTCAAGAGCAAGAAATAACCTGTCTATATTAAAGACTAGCCAAAAGCTGTTACAAAAAGACACTAGTGCATATGCATAGTTGAGTGCTCTAAAGAGGAAAAACAACTAGTGCTTCTTAGCAGAAGATACAATTTACAAATTCACCAGAGATGAAGCTCAGTCAAAGCTTTTAGTCTGATGTAATCCATAATTTCTTAAGGGCTAATTATTTGTTTTAATCCTCAGTGACAGTTCCAGTGTGAAAAATACAATTCATTCAGTATAATATAAATAACTATATTTGTAAGTACATTGTTTTCAACTTGAGGGCCAAATCCTCAGAATGACGGATGAAAGCTGTCTGCTAGGACAGCTAGGTTGGATGTGCAAGGCACAATGGCAAGGGATCTTACCTGCAGATGTAATTTTGATCTTAAAATGTAAAGTTGTGAATATTCTTAAATGCTTCTTATGAAAGCAGTTGCTGCTGTGAAGGGCGTTCTATTTTGATTTCAACTGTGATCCCCTTGTCCTTGCTTCCTTGCTGAGGACCACACAGGCTCCCTTCTGATAAGGAACCTGTTCAATCACTAGGGGGCTCACTTGAGAATAAACCAAAAGATGACTGTGCTAATGTGGAACTAGATGTACCACAGTGCTTGTTGTTCTATCCCAAACATAGGAACAGTAAGGATTGGATACAGATAAACCAGGGTGATCTATGCATTTATAATATTTGACTCTATGACCTCTGTTAAAGGTGGGGTATGCGATTCTAATACAATACACATCTTTTTTCTGTTCTGTGTGCGCGCTAGAAAAAAACAAAACTGGTGTTTGGACTGAGCCACACAACACTATTCCAGCCATGATTTGTGTGTCAGGTGACGTTAAATGACTTGCCCACGGACATTCAGCTTGCTTTCTAGCTTGCCAAAACATGCTGTTGTGATGATAGCTATAGTGGCAGGCGAGTTGTGAGTATCACTGTCTGGAGCTGCTGTGTTGCCTCTGGGACCGTCTTGTCCTCTCTGCACATTAGTTTGGCAGCAGTTAACCCACAACTGATGTAAGACAGCTAATGTTAGTTACATTGCTTGCTGTGTTGTTGTATACTTTGTATGATGGTGTTGGATTTCCTCAGAATCGCATACCTCACTTTTAATTGGATTCTAAACCTTGGTGCTGCCCAGATATATGGTGAGCTCAGAGCGGTGAATCACCTTCTTTTTAGTCTGTGATGGAGAGCTTTGGGCTTCAGACCAACGTGTCCACCACTCCCTCAGTTCAGTAGGCCCTGTGGGCCGTCGCTCCTTTATCTGGTTGGTAGGAACTAGAGCATGAGGAGGGTTTAAGTCTTCTCTGGGCAGGGACTTCCTGTTAATATTTACATTCCCATCTGGATCAGATTGTTGCAGATTTAGGTTTTTAGTTGAAACAGCTGAAATCTTAGTGGCAGCATTTGAAACAACTTTTGAAACCATCTCAGAATCCTCTTGAGCGTTTTGTGTAGCGAAGAATTCGTGCCCCTGCATTTTCCGCTTGCACTCCAGAGCCTTCACCCTCATTTCAAGGAACTGACACTGCAAGTCTTTCTCGTAACCTTCCTCTGCCTTTAATTCATTCTCCCAAAACTTGATCTGTTCCATCTCTTCCTCAACCATTCTCTGCTGAGCTTCCTGCTCAGGTTTTTTGGCCCTCAGTCTTTCCTCAAGATCAAAAATCTGTTTGTCTGTGCGTGCTATCTGGACCTGTAAATCCTGCAAACAACTGAGTTGACATATTATGGTTTCTGTTAGGCTATTTTTCTCATCTTCAGTTGTAGCACAGCCTGAACTGGACACGTCATCAGATTTTTCCTCTTGACATTTTTTGGAGTGCTTGCTTTCTCTACCCATCGTCTGACTTCCCATGCAGCAGGATGTTTGATGATCCAAGTCTGACTTTAAACTTTTTTGACCTCTGACTTTGCTTCTACTACTTTGACCTGAGTTGTCAACAGTGAGAGAAACATCCAGAGAGGTACGATTCCTTTTATCGGTCCTCTTATTGCTTTCCTTATCACAGGCAGTACTATAGACCTTGCCTTTACCAAGACTCTCCAGCCATTCCCAAGCTTCCTCCATGAGTGTCAGAGACTTTCTTTTGGGTCTTTTCAGGTCCTCTTTTTGCTGCTCAGCCTCTTGTTTTAAACAGGACAGAGGTGGCAAGCTTTGACGATGCAAACTTAGTGAACCACTGCCCCGCCGCATTCTGGTACCTGCATCTTTTCTTCTCAATGGCGGGCAGGGCTGGTATCTGCCAACTTTTGTCCTGCTCATTTCATCCCAGGCTGAGGGTCCCTTGTGGAGTAGCGTGAGTTGGACCTCCCTGGCCTGCTCACCGTACTTCTTAAGAGTCTCCAGAAGGCATTCATTGGGCGTCATGCACCGCTGAAAGTCTTTAAATTTCTCCTGTAACGTGTAGCGTCCAGGTTGACCTAAAGAAGGATATGACTGTGTTTGTCAGCCTGATCAACATGTCAGAACATAAATCTTATGACTATGTAGAGTCACAGACATACATACCCAGGGCTTGAGCCAACGCTATGACCACTTCTTGGCATGTTGTGTACTCTGTAACGCCACAGACCACACGTGGGACACCATCCACTGACACCTTTACTTCCATTGTAACCAGTCTATGATTTAAAAAGGATATTAAAGTTTAGTCAGTGTGTGGCACATTGTGCAGGACACTTGTTCTCTGTTAGAGAAGAAGTGTTAGAGACATCTTTAATTAACATTCACCGTTACATGTCTGCCCATCATGTAATGGTCTGTTCGAGGACAGTTTAAAGCATTGTTAGTAGGATGTCTATAGTGACTACTATAGACTACCAAAAAATGCAGAAAACAAGCTTTTAATAGAACTATCCCTGACAAAATATTTACATAGACCTACCTTTTTTGTTCTCTCTGTAGTGCGGCTGCTCTGACCTCTCTGCTCTGGGGGAAAGTTATGGTTGCGAGGAACACTTGAACAATTAAAACCAATTACAATTCCTGATGGCATCTACCACTGGAGGACAGTTTATGATCCCACCCATCTTGCATAGTTTCCATTTTGCCTGAAAAAACAGCAATATTTCTTTAGGTTTGTGTGAAATTGTACGACAGAAATGAAATGAGCAACAACAAGACATTTTGTCAGTCATTATCAGAACTGAGATGGTAGGAAGTACAAAGCTATAAACAAGGTTCTGAGTTAATCAGTGCTTAAAGAGGCTTTGAAGTTGGAATGAAGAGGCCTTTGTGTATGTGTATTCACATTGCTCAAACCAAATGTATTTGTGCTGCCAGGTTTTCAAATTCTCATCAACAGCCAGCTTTCTGATCATTTTCCTTCAGACCCTCCTTCATTTTTCATGTGTCATTGCATTGAAATCATATGGCCTTGTCATGAAGGCACATTTTTCGCTTTTAAACTAATGTTCACCTCATTCGGCCACAGCTAGCCTCAATTCGCACTTGCATTTTTCCCATTGACTTATTCCTTCACAGCAGTACTAATAGAGAAGAGTCTTAAAGTGAGCAAACAAACTCAGTGATGTCAGTTATACAGCAATATCTATCTGAATTCTGCTAACACAAGCTTATATTAGCTGCCGTGAGCATCCTCGTGTGGTCATACCAGACCTCATTCCTGCAAAATCCCTGAGTGTGCTGAATTGAGCAATTGTGTGTTTTTATTGCTTATCACTTCAGCTTTTCATTCAAGATAATTCTTATTCTATTTGTTCTTCTCTTCTACGAAGGTACACAGTCTTGCTTTAATTCACCTTCAAGAGATGTTGAACACAATTTTATTTGCTGTTAAAGACAGTGTTAACTGCCAGTTTACCATACAGTCTATGCAGATTACACACCACTGCTACCTCCACCTTCCATCCTTTTAGTGTTTTTGTAGTGTGCCGTACAGTGTAAGAAAACATGTACTAGAATAGAAGGTGGTGTTTTTGTGGATTAGAATCTAAACCGTCTTATGAAACTTGCTGTGCCTGAAAACAAACAGGTCCAGTAAATTGTCTGTGTATTTGCCAGTTATTATGTCGTGGGCTGTTTTTAGATCTGGGTGTTCCTCTTTATCTTTTTGACAGGAAGGGTGATTACAATCCAAAGAGAACATGTAAACATTCTGAACTTGTAAACTGCACCATTACCATCAAGCACATACCCATCAGGGCTTTTTTATTTCCGAAAGTTCAGATTTTTGTTAACGCAAATGCACAACTTTTGAAGAGTTATATAATATAAATAATTATAAAAAGACTACATGAAAGATGTTATGTAATGCACTCTACAGTTCGCTGGAGGAGCAGAGGTCCCTTTGCTACTAGTAGTAATCAATACAAAACAAACATTATATGACACCAACTGTATTGGAAATATATAAATGGAGGTGTTTCTTTTGGATTTGTTATGTTCTGGTGTTCACAGCTTTTGTGTTCATTTGACTCATTTTGTTTTGCTGCTTCTGCCATCATTTGATGTTGTTTGAAAGTAATTAGAAAAGTGAAAACCATGGCAAACATCTCCAAACAACTCCCAGATCAGAAGCCGGACAGGGCAGCACCTGTTGTAATGTGGTAATGTCTGACAGTCCGAGTGATGATGATCCGAGTAATATGAGATGGGGAAATTTGGACTCCCTGCTCTCTCTTGCCCATGTAACCCACATGTCCAGCTTCTCATGATATATAATCATGCTAACGAACAGCCAGATCTCTCTAGACCATGAAAAAGAAATTCTTCAGAGATCTGTTCATGTAAATCTAGGAATTTGTTGCCTTTTGATAGTTTGCTCTTCAAGTTCACATTCATGTGGCAACTTTGCAGAGGCTGTGGTCAGGCTGTGGCTTATGACCTAATTACCATTTACAAAATGTTCTGTTTCACCAGTAGCTTTACAGGAGTTAAAAAATTACGTCTGGCATTTTAATTTCTAATGGCTGAAATGACTGACTGCCCATTTCAAACTTGATCTCTTGAATTAGTTGCACCATAAGAGGAACTCTGACATTTAGGATCACATTCCCTAAAAATAGATGACTTGTTAAGTGTCTTCAAACTGCACAGCATCTTAGGAGGAACAGCGAAGCAAAAGTGTGCTACATAAGTCTCTGTAACAAAAAAAGTCATTACTTAAAGGATCTAGCAATGCAGATAGTTTCTGACATTTTTGCCCCTACCCTCTAGTGAAAGATTACATCGGCAAGGCTAAAACGGGTACTTTCAGAATATATAGAGAAAAAGTATTTTGAGGTAAGAATGTAATTTGTTTGACCAAGACTATAAACTTTTTTGTATCTATACTATTCCAGATACAATTCTTTGATCAGATTAATATAAGGTTTCTTAGGCAACATGTGATGCATTTTTTCTCCTGCTAATTTCAAACCATTATGCTAATTCAGCTAGCTTAACAATGGCTGATTGCATCCCCTATATGGACTTTCTTGATTTTAATATTTTATAGAGTGCCCTATGCAGCCGCTGTGCCCACCAAGCCTGTACACCAGGGTTACCAGCATTCATTTGTCAGCTCTATGACCAGTGCATGAAGCCAGTACTTACCTATTCACATCTTGTTCACATGGTGGCCTGTGTAACGGCACCCGATCTTCTCCCTACTCAGTTTCCACCGGTGGAGAGGGGCAGACAAGAGTAGCAGCAGCTTATGTGCGCAAAAACAGTCCCTGTAGTCCAAAGAGTAAAATCTAAAAGTACGTACATACACACATACGGATGTTTTGTTTTGTTAGACCTAAAGATCTACAAAGATTTTAGTTATTTGGTACACTGTAATAGTGTCTAGTAGATAAATTAACATAGATGCGCACACACACACACGTCATCAGACATAGTCTCTTACAGAGAGAGAGAATCATTATTCTTTTATTACACTATGGTGTGGCATCTGTTTTTGCTTCTTTTGTCTAATTGTTACAACTTACCCCAGCATGTGTTACAACATACCCCAGTAGCGGGTTAGGTTGAAACAAAGGAACATCATGTATTTGACATCAACTCACAAAGTCTGTGATATTCTTGTAGATGATTGAATTGGGGCCATTTTCAGTAAACAAATGTGGGTACTTTGTATAAAAATTAGAGATTTCTAGCTAAAACAATTCTGTGAGTTATAAGTGCTGAAGCCAAAGTGTTCCATACCCCATCTGGTGTAAAGTCAGTGAGTTGTATTTCCCTGCTATTTAAAGGGCACTTAATTCAGATAATACGATGCTCCCTATTAAAAGAGACACTGCCCATTTTTGTTACAGCAACGCAACTTCATTTATTGAAATCTCCTGACACTCAGACAGGATCAGTCAGGATGCACTGATAGCAGCCTATTCAATCATTAAAGTAGGGCGACGGTTGTAAGGGGCAATTGCACCAATTACTCATACGTCAAAACAACACACAATAAAAAATCACATGAGAGAAATGTGACTCAGGACCAGTTCATCATAGTTTATAATAATGCAGCACAGTGACGATGCAGATGTTAGTCTCCAGTCTGCAGTGGAGTTTACACTTCACTGACACTGGCGCACACACTCTCACTTGTCCACTTGAGCTCGCTTTCTGCTGAGTCTGCATCACACTTTATTTATTTATTTTTTATTTAGGTTTTTATAGTTCCCAAGTAATCTGCAATTTAAATAGCAATGTGCCAGGGGAATGAGCAAATGGCTTGTTAAAGGGAATGGGGGGAAAAAAAACACTGGTTTAATTTAAACATGTTACACCCAAAACCACCATGTCACATGGCATTAAAACCTCACGGGAGCAAGGCGGCTGCAGGGTCGTTAGAACCACAGTATTGCCTGATCTCGCGGCATGCCGGGAAAATGCTGCAAGGTCAATCACTGATCTCAGCTCACAGTAAGCTCACTCAGTAGAATGTGTCTGACTTTACAGCGCTGTTTTTTCGACCCACCCCTGCAGTCACCTGCAGCTCATCTTTGACTATCAAGTCTGCGAAAGTCAGCCACAGTCATCTCGAATGCACCTATTGTGAGCATGTTAGCATGCTAGCATGCTGATGTTAACATTTTCTTCAAATTACCACTGTGACTAAGTACAGTCTCACAGCGTGACGGGAACTACAGCAAAATTGTTTCTAAAGTTGGCCTATGAGGCTTAACAGAATTTGACCTTCTATGCAGAAATTCATCAAATCTTCCTCTCTAATCTTTGCTATCTATAGACTTCATTGTCTTCGCTGGTCAACAAATGTGTCAAATTACTCAAGACTGTTTTAAACTGTAACTTCTCATTTGAAGGTTATTGAAAAGTAGCAGCATGGAGCTTTGGGTGTTTTGTTGTTAACAATAACATAACGTCATAATAACATAATGTCAGGTGCAGGCATCACATGTCCAAAGGCCCAATGGGACAAGTCCACTCCACAAATCAGCAGAGTACTAAAAATGAACTGTTCATCATTTTTGAAACCGATGTTTGTTTTTCTGAAAACTCTTCACCCAACAGCAACAATAAGCACCCATCTAAAAACCCAACTAACATGTGTAGAGCAACTTCAGGGTGTTCTATAATACCCGTGCCCTCACACAAACATACCCGTCTCTTTGTCTGCACGCTGTGCCTGTCGGTGAGGCCTGTGTGCACATAGACAACTTAAAATAGAGTTGCACACATATGAGTTCCCTGTTACGTCCTGGCGTGTCCTGTGTGAGCAGAGCAGGTTCTGGTTACACTAGAGGCAGAGGGAGCTTAATATTGCACAGACCAAGCACAGGGCTCTACACTTCACTACTGCAGTGGTCCAGTGGTAGACCATCTTTACCAGTCCTCAGGGAGCGTTTCACCAGAAGAGTGTCACCATGCCTAAAGTCTTATTGCCAGGTGAGTACGGGCAAAATGACCGGGTTCGAACATGCACTCTCATTTTCACAGGCTCGTTTTACATTGACACATGACTATAAAGATGGACCGAGGAAAGCCTTCACTTGGATTGATTTTATTTTTGTTATGCTTTTCTATGGTGTGTTTTGGTCAACACATAAAAACTGTTAGAATAAAGTTAAATTCAAAAAGAAATCTGTATTTG